CCTTAATCCAAGTGATTTTTATACATTGTGCATAGGAGAGGGCCCACTGATTCCTGTGGCACAAACCTAACTGCACATCGCCAATTTGAAAATATCACACTTATTGTTTCCTGTTACCTAACCAATCTTCTATCCATGTCAATATGTTTGACAAGGTCTCTCATCATAGGCTGGTTTAGAAAGTAAAGTAATATGTGATCCATGATGAGTTGGTAAGTTGCTAATAAAATTGGCTTGGCCATAGAAGGCAGAGGATAGTTGTGAAGAGGTGCTTTTCTGACTGGAGTTCTGTGACCAATGGTGTTCTGCAAGGACCAGTGCTGGGATCTCTGTTGGTTGTAACATTTATATAAATGAAAGTGGAGGTGTTCTAATTAGTAAATTTGCAGATGACACAAAAATAGGTGGAGTTGCAGCTAGTGAGGAAGGTTGTCAAAGGACAGGATATAGATCACAGATTTTTACAGCAGGATATAGATCAGTTGGAAAGTTGGGTGGAGAAACAGCAGATGGAATTTAATCCGGACAAGTGTGAGGTGATACATTTTGAGAAGTCAAATTCAAGAGGAAAATATACAGTAAATGGCAGGACTGTTAGGAATCTTGAGCGCAAATCTGTAACTCCCTGAAAGTGGTGACACAAGTGGATAAGGTAGCAAAGAAGACATGCCTTCACCAGTTGGGGTATTGAATATAAAAGAAGGCAAATCATGTTGGAACTGTTAGGGTATTATACACAGTTCTGGTTGCCACACCAGAGGAAAGATGTGGGGGCTTTGGAGATGGTGAAAGGAGATCTACCAGGATGTTGCCTGAGTTGGAGTGTATTAGCAAAAAGGTGAGGTTGAACAAAATTGGATTATTTTAGCGAAGCTTTGTAAGTTTAGAACATAGAACATAGAACAGTACAGCATAATACAGGCCCTTTGGCCCACGATGTTGTGCCAAACTTTTACCCTAAACCTAAGGTCTATCTAACCTCCACCGCTACCTTATACGATCAAAGGGACAACCAAAGGGGGCGACCTGATAGAAGTATATAAAATGATGACAGGTGTGATTATGATAGGTGGAGTCTTTTTACCAGAGTGGAAATGTCAAATGCTGGGGCATTGATTTAAGGTGAGAGGGAGAAATTATGACAGAGATATGTGAGGCAATTTTATTTTACACAGAAGTTGATAGGTGCCTGGAATACACTGACAGGAAAGGTATTAGAAGTAGATATGATAGCAATGTTGAACAAGAATTTAACAGAGACATGAACAGGCCGGGAATAGAGAGATAAGGACTTTGTGCAAGCAAATGGGTGCGAGCAAAAATTTAGAATGGCATTACGGTTGACACAGACATATTGGGCTAAAGGGCACGTTCCTGTGCTCTACTGTTCTATGTTCTCTGTTGCCCCTTTTACCATGAGCATTTATTTTTCGCAATAACCTTTAACGTGGTACTTTATTAAATGCCTTCTGGACATACAAGTACAATGCATCCACTGGTTCCTCTTTATCAATAGTACATGTAACATCTTCAAAGAGTGCCAATAAGTGGGTTAAACATGATTTCCCTATCACAAGACCACATTGACTCTGCCTGATTACCTCATTATTCTCTAAGTGCCCTGCTAAAATGTTTTAAGTAATAGCTAACATTTTCCCTCTGGCAGATGCTAAGCACATTAGTCTGTAGTTGCCTGTTTTCCATTCCTCCACCTCCCTTTTTGACCTTGGTGTTTTTTAAATAATAGAAACTTCCTTGGTTCAGTGGAGAGTGCAGGAGGTCATGCCAGGAGCAGCACTAGGCAGTACCTAAAAATGAGGTAACAAGGTGTAGAGCTGGATGAACACAGCAGGCCAAG